GGCCTGATATGCGCTTAACTCTTTAATTTCTATTAAATGATTCGTGACAAGTAATCTCCTTGTATGAAAGCTTGAGATATAGACAAGATTATCCATAAAAAAAATTTCTTAAACAGTACTGTCATTGGACTCTTGTATATATAATCACCCTTAAACCACCCGGCAGCCTATATTTCTGATATTCTATCTTATTCCACTTTTTGATTTAGGTCGTCTACTTGAATCATCTTGACATACTGACAACCATGCCAAGCAGTAGTAGTATTCAGGCATCCGACAGAGACTCCGGCAAGGCAGTAAATTCAACTACAACGGTCGAAATTAAGCCATCACGTTTCTCCTCGTTTGATCCTGCACACATCACTAAGCTTGTAAGAAAAAAAGATAAAAAATGGCTTCGAGAGCGTGGAGGTATAGAAGGCGTGCTGTTAGCCCTGGAAACAGATATGGAGAATGGCGTCAGAGGTGATCGAACTGACATTGACAGCAGAAGAAAAGCCTTCGGCTCTAATCTTCTTCCCGAGTATAATCTGCGAAAAACATTTCGCCATTTCGTGTTGGAAGCAATTAAAGATCCCATGATTGCTGTTTTGTTTATCTGTGCTGTGCTTTCTCTATGTCTTGGCTTTCAAAAACATGGCCTACGACAAGGATGGCAAGAAGGGTTGGCAAAAATACTTGCTATTTTTGGAGTGGTAATTGTTTCCTCCAGTGGAAAATTCTGGCCAATCATTCAGTGCCTTGAGTTTTCAGTTTTCAGCAGCTATATTCCTGAAACTGATGTTGTGAGAAGCAGTAAATGGCAGCGAATTCCAATATGTCGTGTTCTTGTCGGAGACAGTTTTTCTAAAGCCTGGTGATCAAGTTCCTGCCGATGGATTGTTCATGTTGGGAATACACCTCCCAAAGATAGCCCAATAGATCAAACAAGTTGACAAAGTGAAAATTTCCAATATGCTTGAAGAACAAGAAAATGAGGAAGAAATGAATCCAATGGAATATATGATAATCAATGTGTCAGGATTACTTGAACAAGCCTCAAGTTAATCCCCAAGAAAGAAAAAATGGCTTTGAATTTATACCCAAGAAGAACAAACTCTTACTTGTAAAACTCTATCCAAGCCCTCTCTATTTTTCTCTCCAAAAATCGGGTTCTGAATGAAGGGGAAAACCAGCTATTTATAGAATGAATCGGGCGCCATGGCGCCCATGAGTGGGTGCCATGGCGCCAGCCTCACTGCCCATTTTTTTTTCAAGTTTGGGCGCCATGGCGCCTGACTCCCTGCACACTTTCAATTCTCCACCTCGTACATCATTTGATCGACCTCAAAGTTTGGACGAACACAAGAAGAAGCAGCAAGCGCCAAACTCGGCTGCACCATTCAAACCATGGTTGCCTACGTACCCATAACTCGGGATCAAGCCTCCGTAGTTCACCTCCACCTTCATAAACACTCCACCTCATTTCAACCCCGCCCAGAAGGGCCATGCCCTCTCGGGCATATCAACATGGACTAATGTGAAGCAAGTCTAAGCAATGTTGAAACTTGCTACCCATCACCACTTTGGTTAACATGTCAGCTGGGTTCTCATTTGTGTGTACCTTCGAGATTGAAATATCACCTTCCTCTATAACATCACGTACAAAATGATACCTGACGTCAATATGCTTGGTTCGAGCATGATGAACCTGATTCTTAGCCAAGTGAATCGCACTCTGGCTATCACACCACAAGTCCACACAATCCTGCTCAATCCCCAAATCATCTAGAAGACCCCATAACCACAATGTTTCCTTCACTCCCTCTGCCATAGCCATATACTCGGCCTCTGTAGTGGAAAGAGCAACTGTAGCCTGTAACATCGATCGCCAACTAACTGGGGCACCATGTATGCAAAACACATATCCAGTAGTAGATCGTCGTCTATCTAGATCACCTGCATAATCCGAGTCCACAAACCCACTTATATGACATGCATCTCCACCAAAACATAGACCCGTATCTGCGGTACCTTTTAAGTACCTCAGGATCCACTTCACAGCTTCCCAGTGTGTCTTCCCCGGATTCGCCATGAATCTACTGACCACACTCACTGCCTGTGAAATGTCTGGGCGTGTACACACCATGGCATACATCAAACTGCCAACTACACTAGCATAAGGCACACGATCCATGCGTACCTTTTCTTCCGCTGTAGTAGGAGAGTGTTTACCAGAGAGCCTGAAATGTGGAGCCAATGGAGTTACCACCGACTTTGCACCTTGCAACCCGAACCTAGCAATAACCCGCTCAATGTAGCCTTTCTGACTCAAGAACATTCGCCGGTTCATCCTCTCTCTTCTAATCTCCATACCAAGTATTTTCCTAGCAGCCCCCATATCCTTCATCTCAAACTCTTTACCAAGTTG